ACTCGGGTCTGAATGCATTTAATAGGCAAGCTGAAGATTCTTGAACAACTTGTGCGCTTAATTGCTGTATCTTTATGTAATGCAGATCACGTAAATATGTAAAAAGAAACCTGTGCATGTATGTGTGTATGTGTGTGTGAATGTGTGTATGAGTGTGTGTATGTGTGTATTTATGTGTATGCTATAGAAGAAGAGAATAGCCTACAAATCAGAAAATATATATACAAATAATAATAATAATAATTTATCCATTTTATTTTTTATTCTGCACATATCTTTAATTTCACAGTTTATATTTATAATTCGCGTGTGAGTTTATCTCTTTCAATTTGAAATCTTTCCATTTGTATTTTAACTTAAATTCTAGAATTATTTTTCTCTATTTTCTCCTTCTAATATTTCTCTTAAATCCTTTTAAGTCATTGAGATGTACAAGAAAGCAGATGGAAAGATTAAAAAATTGTGTCGACATAAAGCTTACCTCTAAATTTCGAATTTAATTAGATGTCTTACAATCTTAAACATTTACAATCTTTACAATTTTTCATATTTTTATTGTGTCTCTTACAGTCTTTGAGAGGTACAAAACAAATATGATCGACACACTGACAAACCCTGACTTTTAATAAATAATAAACACATATAAATGTATGCTGAAATCAGTACACTTTAAGCCACGACCCTCGTTCTGACACCTCCTGCTGCCTGTTACATACATTAGCCCTGTTTTGTTGGAATGAGAGTGCAGGGTATTGAAAATTACTCACACTTTCAATTTTTAAGCTCATTGCGTGAGACCTTGGACCAGAGTGCGACGGACAAGGGGCTCAGCTGTTGGCTTGAAGAGGTGTCGTGGCATTGGGCAGGGGGAGGGGGGAGGTGAAGGTGGAGGGAAAGGATTGGGTGCGGAGCACATCTGTGCACAATGTGCGCCGGCATTGCCCGTGCTTGTCAATTGATTGAGGGCGGCTTAGCATGTGAATGGCGGGGTTAATTAGACAAGCAGTTCACCCCTCAAACAGGCCGTCCTGTATCCAAGGGTGGACTTCCCCTTTTCTCCGCCTCCCCTCGCTCTCGCTCTCGCTCTCGTTCCCCTATCCCTATTCATTGGATGCTGTCGGTTGGCTTGGGACAAAGGCCAACAAGTGAGTGGCATAATTCCAATTGATCAAACGAATAAATAAAAGGTAAACTGAATTGTTTGGCATAGTTGCTGTTTTCGCATGCTAGATTTTATTTATTCATCAAACTGAGATTTGAGGGAATCTGCCTGCGCCCATGTGTCCCCAATGCGTGAGAAATTGTTGATACTACTTATGTACATCTGAACTTGCTTCAAAAGAGCACCAAATCTAATACGCTGAATATATTATGCTGATATATTTATTCTAATAACTCAATAATGGAGCAACTTAGAACCATTACAATAGAATAGCAGCGATAACTTTTAAGAGTTAGCTTTTAGTGTCTACATGTGCACGTCGTAGATTTATATTGTAGTGGTCCGATCTCCATGACTATTTTAAATGTTAGAAATTATGAAAACATATATATCTGTTGTGTTTAGTTGCTAAAGATTAAATACCGTTGTAGACGGGAGCATAAAAAAGCTCACAACTGTTGAGTTAAGTTAGGAAAAGTTGTTTGGACAAGAACCTATTTTTTTATCGATTGTTCCGATGGCAGCTATATCATATAGTGATTCGATCTCTATGTGGTTTCTTTTAGAAAAGAACTAATTTTTTCGACCGCTTGCTCCTATGACAGCTATGTGAAATATTGAGATATTACATAATTCTGTTTTGATACCTTGTTAAACAAACAGATTTTTTCCTATGACAACAAAATGAAATAGTGGTCCAATCTTCATGTTTTCACAAATGTGTATATTAAGTAATGTTGGTTTAGATATCTTTTTAAGTAAAATAAAAATATGACAGTATGCATAGCTGTTGAGTTACATTAGGATAGCTTGTTAAGAAAAAAAGTTGCCTATATAAGATATCTTTCGTTCTATAGTTCCTGTGATAGCTATATTATTAAAATATATCACGAAGCAAAAATACGACTACAAGCCAAGTGACATCGAGACAGCCTTCAACTGGCAGACAATTATGCATATAATCAGATCTAATCACTTATATGGCTATATCGACTCGACTGCAGATGCTATTAAGGAATATATATACTTTAAGGAATACTAATGGAATTTTTGTCGTTTACATAAGAACCCAACTCATTTTTGCACTCACGTTAAGAATCCATTTGAGAGACAATCTTAAGAATGTTTAATTATTAACGGGGTCACAGCTTGGCAGTGGCACACAGGAGTAAGGGACTTGAAGGAATGCAGGATGCAAATCGCAACCGGCACGTAAACGTTGGCGGTTCTGAATGCCAAGTGAAGTCATGTTTTCGAACCTGACAATTTTTCGTTTTCCCATTTTCCGACTTTCCGTTTCACCGATTTACCTGCGCTGCACGAGTATCTTTTGCGTCGTGACAACACGTGGCACTTGTTGGTTTAGGGGATAAATGCGGAATAGAACGGGAAATAGAGCAGAGGGCGTGTGCGTGCGTGTGCGTGTGTGTGTTTGTGTGTGTGTGCAGGTGGGATACAACTATTCCCACCCCAAAATGCTATTTGCATTTTAATGACGCAACACACTGAAATGTTATTTTAATAGGAATATTTGTTGCATATTATTTGCGTAGCCAAAAAAACAATATGCGCCAAACCTATTTTTTGCCAAACGACTATTATGCGAGATAATACGTGATTCCCACTTGGCTAACTATATGCAGTCAAAATTACGATTCGTCAGGTGTTAATTAGTTGCAATCGATAAGCAATTTGTACTTTGTTTAGTTTGTTTGTTTGTTTGCGTGGCGACAAAGTAAAAATATTCTCTATATTCTCGAACGATGCGCAATAATGATCATATGCATATTACAAGCAAAACAAAAACAGAACGCATAAAAATAATATATAAGAAATACAAATTACACAAAATTAACTGCATTTATCAATATGCATATCGCGTTTCAGGCTGTTAAATACCTGAATCGATCTTCAGGTGGTTCACCCTTGACTTGGGCATTTCAACTTCAAATTTGTTATTTAGAAATAAACGTTCTATAAATAGATTTCTGTTGATTTGTGCTCTGCAACTATGTATATTTATCAGCTGATAAGCTTTGATGGCAACAATAAATTTCCAAAGTAACATTTTCAGTTCGACTCTCGCGTTATCAAACTCTAGACTCTACGGTTAACTATACATGTCTACAAAGTAGTAATATACACATACATGCATTTGCATATGTACTCGTATGTGTAGTGCACACATTCCACATTTTGTGTAAATAATATATTACTAGTAATTTTATAATTTGCTTTCTCCAGCCCGCTCATGTGCAGCAAACACAAAAAAAAAAGCAGCCGCATAAATTACGCGTTACAAACGTATCGGAAACAATAATAAAAATAACTATAAAATCGCTGTTAATATATGTATAAAATAGATTTTCTGTGCAATTCATGAATTGAATTAAACAACTTTTGGTACTGTAGCAGTTTTCTGCTTCAGTTGCAGGCCTTGCCAGTTCCGGCAACACGAAGTTGCAAATGTGGCTAAAAGGGTAAAGGGGTTGGTCGATGTGGGGAGAGGCTGAGTGAGTGTGTGAGTTGAATGCAATGAATTAAGCATTTTGATTTAAGGCAGCGTTCATTGTTAGCAATTCTGTTGCCTAACGCTAGAGAACACAACTCAAGGACAAAATGGCAGCCGCGCAGGGATGTTAAAAATTACACTATTTATATATCTGTCTGACAAAGAAAGAAAGAGAGAGGGATAAAGGCAGAGAGAGGACGAGGCTTGGTTAAGGAGGATTGTTTGATATGCACAAAGGCTAGAGGTAAACGTTGTCAACGAAAAAAATCAAATAAATGTCAATTTAGCTGATTTACGAGATACCCCCAAACTGAAAAGGGGGTGCTATGCGAGCGGCATTGATTAGTGGTGGCGAATAGATTTGAGTGCATATAAATCGCATGTGCAGAAATGTGAATGCTAATTGACTCAATAAGGGCGAGGGGGGTAGCGAAGCAGGGACGAATACTAGAAAATTATCGAAATTGTGCCGGCAATTTTCAACGACGACATTAATTAGGCAATCTGCCACCAAGTCCATCACTATTAATCAAAGAGAGAGCGGGAGAGGAAGAGTTGGATGATGGAGGGCACGTTAATACCCCCCCCCCCCCCCACACACACACACACACACACACACACGCTCACCAAAATATTACACTAACCAAATTATAATTTTCAGCACGCCTTTAAATATGCAACGACTTTCGTATCGCAGACAAAAGTTACGCGGTGATGGGGTGCAATATGTAGCGAAATAACAGATTTGTGGGAAGGCAATAGCAAAATTAATTAAATAAATATGACAAGCGGATAAGGGGTACTTTACGCTTTGCAACACCGATAGCTAGAGTTACTTTGTACCCTAAAATGCGATCAATGGAATAAATATCATAGTTAGTAGTATTTTATGGAATAAAATTCTTAACTTTATATATGAGCGTTTTCCAACACTGGGCACCCACAAAAAAATAACGCACAGTTTCCAATTCTTAAAGTCAAAGTCAATCGCACAAAATATTGGGAAAAATTTAAGAAAGAGTGAGAAAAAATCAGAAAAAACATTCATTAGCAAATTTCGCAAAAAAATAGTACCCACCAATCGAACAAAATCAGACAAAAACTTTGCTCTTATAATTAGAAATCATAGACAAATTCAAAATGGTTGCCATCGTGACGAAACTGACAGAAACCCGACGAAAGTTTTGCAGCGAACGAAAGTCACCGAAAGGTTTGTTCTGTGAACAGTATTTGTTGTTGTTGTTGTTGTTGTTATTGACTTAGCCTGATAACTGCTGTGAATTGATGATTGCAACTTTAGCCGTCGCTGTTGCTGTTACGGCTTACCTGTGGCCCAACTGACGCTTGTGGCCGTGATAGTTTATATCGGTGCCCAGGTGTAGTCCATTGAGCACCGATTGATCCATGTCCGTTTCACCAATGGTTTGTGTGCGCTCGCGTGCTCCGGAATTGCAGCTATTGCTATAGGAATGTGCTTGTTGTTGTTGTTGTTCTGGTTGAGTTGGCGGCATTTCGTTTGTTTTCGCTTGCTGCGGCTACTGCTGCTTCAGCTGTGACTGGTTAGCTAAAAGTGCCAGAGAGCAATGCCAGCAGCAAAGTTGTGACGACGCGTCACTGCCGATTAGCGAGTCTTCGAGTTCAGAGCTCTCCCAAAAAGCAAAGCTCCGTTTGTCATTCACTCACTCACTCACTAGCAGTTGTGGGCGAGAGAGGGAACAGACCGTGAGAGAGTACGCGAGACAGTACGCGAACTTTGTGTGGAGGCGACAGAGACAGAGGCCTTATCAGCTGCTCGTGGAAACGTCACGAATCTATTATGCGTAGACAGCTCAGCAGTAGTAGCAATAAGAAAAAATATATTGTGGAATGATCTTGTGCGTGGTCGAAGCTATTTGCTATTTGCTGTTATTCTTGTTTTGCGTTTCTCTTTTTGACAAAGTTTGTGCTTATCACAGAACAACAACAACAGAACACTAGTACAAGTATCACGCACGCACACACACACACACACACGAAAAAACAACAAAAATAAAATGGAATAAAAGTAGAATAACACTTGTGTTTTTGTTTGACTTTTGCGCTGTTGAGCTTACGAAAAGAGCAACAATTTCGTTCAACGTTTGGATTTCAACTGACGACTTCGTCTCAGTGAATGCAGCGTAGTAGAAATGGGAGGAAGAAAGCAGCACAAGCAGCAGCAACAACAACAGCGAAACGGACGGCAAGCAAATAAAACTGAGAGAACGAACGCACCTGAGCGGCGCGCGCATGATCTATCTCGCTCTATGTCTCTCTCTCTCTCTTGCCGAAAGCTCTTCGTTTTTACATTGTGTGTCAAAGAGTAGACGTGCGCAGCGTAGCTACTATTTTCTGCTGCTGTTGTTGTTGTTTCTGTCCGTCATTGAATTTGAGTCGCTGTTACCTTAATGCCTTTTATGCAATAAATACAAAGCGTTGTCGCTTTTATTTATGTTTGCGCCGCTTCTTCATGCCGCTTTGACATTTTAACTTTTCAACGACTGAAGGTTAGGGATAAATAGCTTGGCTAGCTGTTAGAATAATTATAAAAACATGGCATACACACAAAAAAAATAAAGTTCCCAGAAATATATAGGAATGCATCGCACATTTCATATACATCTATATACACATTGCGTTGTAGAGCATTTAATGGTCGCTATGAGAGTCTTTGAAGTTTTTACTTGCTTTTTTTTCTTTCTTTCTTTTGTCTTCACGCCATAAAGCGAACAGACAAGTACACTCTAAAATAGCTGGGCCATAGGGAAATTTCCAAAAGTTGGAGGACACATTTGAAAGCAAATGAGAAATTATAAATAGTACAAATAATAGAAAACAAACGAACTCACAAACAACACACATTTAAGTCGAATAAGTACATTCAAATATGGGATCGCGTTTGGGCGTTCGAATAATGTGTGGGTTTGTGACTTGGCTAAGCGGACTATGGAATTTTGTTGTTAATGTTTTATGCACAGTTGCGGTCATAATAATACTAGCTTTGCTTCTTAAAGCATTTAATAAAAGATGACTCATTTTATAGTGATAAAATCGAAACCTCTTCAACATATTCAATATGAAGAAAAATTCAATTCAGCAAAACAAGATAGTTAGGATCCTCATCTTGGAATATTTTAAAATATGAGTATTTTCGAAATACTAATCTTAGTAAAATATAACCATCCATCATATCCAGTTCTTAGAAATATTTTAGCCGCTGGGAAAGCCAAGAAAACTTCGCTATAATAAAATTTCACTACTATTATAATGATAAATTTGAAGAATAATTTAATGAAAGTAAATAGAAAATACATATAAATTTAAGGAATTTAATTTTTTTCATTGTATTGATTGCTTACGTTTAAATAAAATGTTCATAATTTGCTAACTATATTTTAAGTATTTTTTATTTATTACATTTTCCCAAACATACTATTATCTTGACCGCAACTGTATGTATTTTTGAAAGTGAAACGCGTATAATGAAAATGGAAATGTATGCATATCAAATTAGCCGATAGTTTGTGAATGCTCTATGAGTAGTTTGACATAAACCATGAATTTATTGTCATATTGTATTATTATGTATATATATATATTTATGTGTATACATTTCTTTACATATACGCATAATCAAGATGGTTTATGCTAATGATTGAATTTTATGATTGCTTTGACACCTGAGGCAATAAATTGCTTGGATTTGTTGTATTGAGGCCATATTAATTATATACGTAGTATCTGTAGCTACAGTGCTGCATATGAGGAACAGGCGTGTAAAAATGCATATTTATCGCAGTTTCATTTTAGCAGGCTAATCTAATCTAAAAGTACAGCTGATTCAATTTTATTGCGGGACAACTACCACTTTTGAGCAGTCATTTTAATATACATTTACGTTTACATGCATATTTATTTGGGCATATATAAAATCAGTATTCGTTCATATTCAGAGCATTTATCGCTTGTACGCACACATTTTGCATACACGGTATGCCCAATTATAACCACGATTTGTTGAGTGTTTTCTGTTTTGTGCGTCGGCTCATAAATATTTTATAAGCTTATACAGCTTGTCTACCCATTCACAGATACATAGTTTTCTTTACTTATGCTTATTTCATCAATATTAACATGAAATACCATTTTAGGGGGCACGCTTCCCTCTCTGTGCCCATCGGTTGGTTTTGTCAGCAATTTACAATAGTACTACAGAATTAAGCAGCTAGCTCAAATATTTTTGTTATAATTAGCTAGTGATATATATATACATGTCTTACTACTGCATATTTATGGGAATCATAATGAGTCAACCTATGTGTGCATGAGTTATCTTTGAGTTATCATTGTGACAACTGGAACGATAAACATGGCCAAAGTTTGAGCTCAATATTTATAATTTGCTCGCATTTCGCATATGATTTTGTTTTTTTTTTTTTTTGGCTGATTCTATTGTGTTTATATTTGAGCTTTGCAGGGAATAAACAATTAATGACCATTAAGACATCAAGTCTATGCTCCACTTGAATTTCGACTGGTATTTGGTTTGCTTACGCTTAGAACAAATAGCTTTTCAGCTGATTAAAAATGGAATGAAAGAAAACTGAATCGCATCTGACGAAACACGAAACTTCAAATCAAATTCCATTAGGCGAAAACACAAATAGGCAAATTATCTTGCAAATATGCCTTGAGTAGCAGTGGGGCGGGTAAATGGAGGATAAATGTGGTGTGCATAAGTTATTTAAATTGAGCATTACACAGACTAACAACCACTAAGCAGTTTGCAGTGGGTCAATGTTGGACAAGACAGAGTCAGTTAGTAAAGATACTTTAACACCAGCAGATATACTGAACATATTACATACAATAAACATATGTACATATTTTCAGACATACATGCACATATTTTTATAAGTGCAAAATAAAGTTGACACTTGCCCAATGTGCCCACTCAAAAATCCCCAAACTGGTTGATTATATGAGCAAAATAAGAATGAACAGCTTTCTTTGGCACAGAAGCTTAAATACCCTTTTGGACAGGCGTTCATCTGCTGACTCTTTCACGACTGGCTGTGAAGTAAATATTACACATTTATATAGATATGTAGATATGTAGATGCATGTCTAGGTGCTACAACTTTAAGCTTATTTTTCGACTAATTGTTCCGATGACAGCTATTTGGTTTATATGGCAAATAAATAATTTATAATATATATAATTTAAATAAAATAAATATATTTAATTTGTCTAAAAATAAATACGATTTAAAAAACTGAATCAATCATTGAGTAAAAACTTGAAGGCTTCGAACAATTCCGATTCGAAATACAGTGTTCAACTGTACTACGATGCTGAATTGGGCGTGGCAATCGCATTTTGGTTTGGCATCCGTTTCAGAAATTTCATTGTTTTGACTTGAAAAAGTTGCAGATATATATTGTATATTGTATCTTTAAGTCGAGTGTTAAGGCGTGTCAAAATAAGCTCGAAAAGTAATTAATTATTTGAATATATTGTAATATGGGCCATATAATCTATCAATACTAAACAATCAAGAGGTACCCTTTCTCTCTTTCCGAATGGTGTATAAGGATGAGAAGTGCAGATACTATATTTTGCTACACTATATTTATTATATTTGATTGCCACTAAACATGCTTCCAATTTCGAACAGCATTCCTCAAAATGTTATACAATGGTGATTATCTTGTGGCAAACCTTACAAGTACTTTAATGTAATGACACCATGAAGGGTATTCAAGAAAAATACGTACACGTTTCTAGGCATAATTACATATGCAGTTGATATATGTATATGTCCCGGTTTTAGTTAGTAAAGTCAGTTGATATGTGTGCATTAGGAGACTTGCAGAATTAGTTTTTGTTGTTGTTGTTACTGCTGTTTGTTTACTTGTAGTTGTTGTTGTTCTTGTCTGTGCTCGCCGATAAGGCGATAAGCAACAGTTTTGCATTCGGCATTGGCATTGGACAGCTATGCGAACAGCGCGATACGCGATCTCTACAAAAAATGTAGAATTCAATGTATAACATGCACTGAGCGAAATAGGCTGTGTAAAACATACAAGCTCTGGCACAATCTGAGAAACAACTTAACATATATAAATACATATTTTTTGTTTGCTTTACCAAACAACCCTTGAACGAATAATTATGCACACATACGTATATACAATATTACAGACTGAAATATATTTAATATAGCCGAATCAAATCTGACTTCAGTGAACCTTGACACTATCAACGAGAAAACATCAACAAACAAGAAACAAAGGCTGCTTGCACATAATATAGACAAACTATAACCAGGTGGATCGATTTGGGTTATTTTGATTGATATGCGATTATTGTCAATGCCAATGAAATTAATTGTTTCGATTTGTTGTTTTGTTCTATAGATTAACATGATAAACATACATATAACTGTATACGTATGTATGTGTGTAGGTCGTGCTATAAGCAAATCGAGAAATAGTTGTGGGAGTTGAGGTCAGTTCAGTTCCAATTTTGACGGTCAGTTTTCTACGTATACCTATCCTATATATACTATATGTAAAATCAACTACATTTATACATATGCACATTGCTCTGATATAGCACTAAATCCAAATATGAGAGAGTGCAATATTCGTTATTGTGCATAACTATTTTAATTTATTTCGTAGTCTTTTCTTAATACCCGAACCGAAGAGGTGCAAAAGTATGTAACAGGTAGAAGGCAGCAACTTCAGCCCCATAAAGTATTTACATATATTCCGGATCAGCATCAACCGTCGAGTCGATCTTTGCTATGTACATCTGTATAAGTTCTGGTTTACCATACGTTCCCTCGCTTTGCATATATCGATACAAATCGATTTCAGATATCAATAACAAACAATTCATAAGAAAAAGCCTTCTTATTGATATAGAATATAACGTGACCTATTGTTGACAATTATATAAATTGCATATAGATTTTCTTAACCATTATATTATATTTATATACGATATATATTCAGTAGTGTAAAATTACAGGTTACTCCCTTTCGAGCTCTCTCCACTAGAGCACCCTTGCACTCACCTATGAGCCGCGTGGCGATAATACTTCTTGGGTGCCGAGCAGGGACCGGGTGTGTTGGGTGCTGAATCGCTCATTTCGCTCTGCAAAAGATATCACAGTAATATACATGTATATAATTATCATATATGTATATATATATATATAAATAGTGAGATAGAGAGGAATTCGTGCAGCACACACACACACATTGCAAGACTTGAAGTCAGTTGCATTGAGCAAAAGATTGCAAGATTGGGAAGAACAAGGCGGTGCAGTAAAAGCAATTAACTGTACAATAGAACATTCGAGCACAGCAAATATGATGCTGTGTGTGTTTGTCAGCGCATGTGTGTGTGTGTGTGTGCGTGTGTGTTTGTATCTGTCTGAGTGACACAATTGGTACAGCAAGCTAATGAGCTTCCCTGCAGCTGATTGATGTCTGTCTGTCTCTATTGCAAGCGTGTGTGTGTATGTGTGTCACTATCATTGGCAATTTCAATCTCTCTGGCTCGCTCTCGCCTTACTTACTTGATAGGGCAGGTCGAAGTACTCTCTTGCGAGCTGAGCCTGAGCGCGAGCCTGAGCCTCAGCCTCAGCCTCAGCCTGCTCTTGCGCCATGCTGGCAACGGCTTCTTCAGACATTGTTGTCATTGTGCCTAAGTTCGCATAGGTGCAGAAGCTTTTGGTTAGCTTAGTGATCTTCCTCGTCTGGTTGCTACTGTTGCTATTGTTGTTGTTCTGACGTTGACGTTGACAGTTTGAAATGCTGCGACTGCTGTTGTTGCGACTGCTGCTGCTGCTCAGTTGATGCAGCAGGGCGCCGTAATAAGTAATTTTGACTTTAATTGTTGTTGTGTTTGCTTTGTCTGTTTGAGATGCTGTGCTAGCTGTTATTGTTCGAGTTATTTTTCTTGTTGTTGTTGTTGTTGTCGTCCGGAAAAACCGCAAATTGCTTGAACCATTGCGTAAGTTCTTCAACGCTTGCGACAAGTTAACAAAAGCCATCGAGCGCAATTGCATGCAATGTACATATGTATGTAAGGATGTATGTATGTAAGTTTATGTTTATGTTTAGATGTATGTATTTATATGAAACTATAGCGATTCAAAGACTTTGTGTGCGTGAGTGTGTGTGAGTGTGAGTGTGCCAATGAATTGATATACATCATTTTGTGTTGATGCAATTTACCAAAAATGAAACAAAGCAAAATTTGATGTTCTTAAGTTTTGGCAATGATGATGATTTACATACACATTCATCAATATTGCATACTTTTTGACGCAGATTTCTCTACAAGTGAAAAAAAGTGAAAGCTTTATGATTGTTGCGATGTGATATTTTAAATGATGTGATTTGGAACCGGATTCAAAGTGTATTTTTTTTTCGAATCCACCATATTCAAGTGCTTAGAACGGCAGCAAAAAACGAACAAATAATTATTTCTGATTCGCACAAAGAACAATCGCAATACAATGTGAGTTAAATACATATCTAACTTAAATTCAATTCTAAAAAACAAAGAACACAGAATTAATATCGAAAACACAAACGAAAAGGAAAGGAAAACAAGCAGAAGGAAAAGCGAATTATTTACTCAGCCCAAAAGTATACTGTGAAAATATGATATTAAAAAGCTTGGCAATTTAACAAATATATACATATATTTATATGTAATTATGTGCATACGTATATATGTATACATGTATGTGTGTGCGTAGCTCATATTGCTGCAGTTGCGTTTCTAAATTACTAGTTTTGCCGCAAACGACGGAATTGAAATTCAATTTGAATTCATGTGAAATGTTGATGGAGCGTGGTCTAATATATCGATCTATCAACTGGGCAAATGGGGGCTGCAGTAATATTCGATTTGACGCGGAGGGGGTGGTCTAAAAATAAGCCTCCATAGGCCCCGTGAGCTGTATGCGTGTGCGGCATTAGCAACAACAATAACAACAACAGCAACAATTAAAGCACGACACACAAATACTAGATGAGTCATCAACAAATACAGTTAGCAGTGAATTTTCACACCATTTAATTGGGCACAGAGTAGAGTTGGAATTAGAATAAGAATAAGAATTGAATAAGCTTTGCTTAGCTTGCTGCGTTCACTGTTCAAGAACTCACATGCACACACTATATACGGTCTGTCAGTATGTATATATCTATGTATATATATATTCACAAATAATCGCACTGTTTAGTTATGGTTTTTGTTTTTTGATTGTTTCTTATTGGTAACGCAATTTGCAGAAGCGTTTCATAACACTCTGGCTTGTAGCAGGCCACGATGAATATACAAATACAAATACTAGACGAGACGAGACCAGACGAGGCGATATATTTTACTAGCAGCTAGTTCCAAAAATGCCTTTTCGCTTAGCTAGGCAAAACAGAACACCAAAAAAAAAAAAAAAATATATAGAAAGATGATGAAAAATACATAAATGAAATGCTCGTGTTCAACTTTTTGTGTTTTCGCGTCGCGACAAACCGAAATGCGAATATGGTAAATTTAGTGTGGATGGAAATGGAATTGATTCTAATTTATCAAATGGAAAATGGGCGCGATTTGTTGCTGCTTGTTTCTTGGTTTCTTTTCACTAGCCCTCTCTATATTTAAGTTTTATTCTTTTAGTTGCTCTTTGCCGACGCTCAATTTCACAATTTTTCGTTTGTTTCCATTTTAGATTGCAATTTTGACGTTTGCAGCGCACGCGCTCTCTGAGAGAGAGAGAGAGAGAGAGACAGAGAGAGAGAGAGAGAGAGAGAGAGGAGAGAGAGAGAAAGAGAGAGAGTTAGAATTAAGGAGAGCAATGCTGTGGAAGCGACGGCAATGCCGGCGACCAAAGCTTTCTTTCTGGTTGTTTGTAAACAAAGCAAAGCAAAAGCTTCGACGGACTTCAGTAACAGCTGGCACCGCTGTTGCTGCCGACCTTATTGCTTTTTGGCGGCAATCGTTCGAAAAGGCGCGCTATAAAAATACATGTTTTTATGTAATGGGTGTGGTGTGCACGATAAGCTGGTTGTTGCGTTAAATTTCAAGACATACACTCGAAGGGAGAAGAGCTCGACTTGAGCATACCCTGCACCCAGCTGAATGTGGCTATAACTTACATTTTTATTTCTTTTCTTTTTTAATATTTTTTATTTAAGAAATTATAATAAAATCAAAAGTTCTCAAAAATTTGTGATTATATTTTTAACATAAGATGATTAGTTAGAAAATATTAAAAAAAACTGTTAAAAATACGAATTATGACTGTAAACTTAATATTATTTATTAATACTAATGAAAGTTCTCTTAGTTTCGTAGCCTGGATTTCAGTTCTGGCTTAAATTTCGATTAGACTTCGTTCGAGCCAACTTCTCTCGCATCAGGCTCTATACTAGGTACACCTCTTGTATTATTCTGAATGGCAATGCGATCATCATCATCAAAGGAATCCTCATTGCTATTGGCGGGTTCTTCTTTTGGTGGCGGCAAGAACTCGCCCACTTTCAGTTTGTCAGGTAACTGTTGCGAAGCTCTTACAACTCCATATGGCTTTAAGTGATATATCAGATAATCGAGAACATACATCAGTTTGGGTGCGACATAATGAAATGATATCGCATTGTCGGAACAGCAATCAAGACCCTATAACCAGATTGTATATTAGAATCTTAAATTTTAAGAACCGTATAACTCAGCTTACCTCGTCTGACTTATAGAATTGGTATTTCCAATACCAAAACCCCTTATCCTTATAGGGTATTAAATGGGCCTCAGGACCAAAAGGGAACATACGTCCTCGACCATTGATATCACGCGAATCGCCCGCTGTCACATTTAAATTCTCCATGCATTTACCAATTTCGATATCCTCATTGACAACTGTGCCAGGCAGGCACATTTTGGGATTGGGAATACCCTGAACGACGAAGCGACGCAATGCTTCGCGACTCAATACATAGCCACATCCGCCTGACATGTAACCCTGAGCCACGTAAGGCTTGAACTTGTAGCCAAAGTGTACAGGGGTCTCCGGATCGTACGGATATAGCATATAGCGCAAATTCTCAATCACTGCATACGTGTCATCATCAGCTTTGTAGAACCAATCCGCATCGTTGAAATGATGCCGATAAACATACTTAAATGCCTCCTTCACCTTGCGCCATAAATTCTCTCGACCCTCTCCCACATCTAGCTTCACCGTAGGCAGTTCATCATCCGCTCCGGAGCTCATGAATAGTAGAATATTACAGCGTTTGCCCCAAGTACGCTTAACATGACGGGCCTTCAGTTTGTGGTTCTTCGGATTGGTCATAACCCAGCAGAGAATGCGAACATCCTTCTTTAGCTGATCGGCCAGCGAGGTATTATCGGTTGGATGATCGTGCCGAAGGACATCAAAATGTGGTATAACATCATCAGCATGGGATGGCGGGGAACGGATATTAGAGTCTGTACTGGCCAGAAAGTTGGTGGGTTCGATGCCTTCAGATATGGTTATGTAGGAAATGAGCTCGGCCACACAATAACCTATGATAAGGCCAATCATAAGCATAAGGAACGGGCTTGTTTTTGTAGCACTCGCTAAAATATTATCAGTTGTCTTTAGAAACATTTTTGAATTCTTGCGGGAATTTTGTACGATTACCTTTGTGTATTAAACAGTGTGTTCCCATATTGATTATATGTTTTGCTTCATTTGAACACAGAATAACCAAAATATTTCGGAACCGACACAAACGATTTCGAGCTGGGGAATCGACTAACCGGCGAAATTATAAGTTGCTTATGATAAAGGCGAAAACTCGAGTGCAAAATGGACAACTGTGCAAACAAGAAGCAGATGTTGTCTTTTGAGGGCACAAACTAAATAGTATTGACACTCTGAACCGATATTTGAATATGCACAGGTGTTTTTTTTTGTGTCTGTCTATTCTTCTGTTCATCTCCCTGAGCTTGACTGTTTTTTTATGCCTTCAAAATTAGAAAGTTGAAATTTCAGAATGTCCATAAAATAATTTAGTTATTTCAGCAACGTTATAATGTTTAATAACGTTAGTTATTAAGGCTTGAAGCCAACGCTTAGCCTTTTCTTCTTCTTGTGTTTTACTAATATGAAGGATTGGGGCCACTGTTAAACCTTCTCACAGAAAGATTTATTTTTGACAGGATCAACAAGCGAGGGTTATTCGAAACGAATGAATAGCTGCAGCAGCCAGCGTATCAGCTAACGCTCTTTATCGAGACAGGGAGAGAGAGCAAAAGAGGGAGAGAGCGCTGCACAAAGAGAATGCTATACAATGGGAGCGCTGCTAACAACTAACAATAAGCTATACATATTATGCCTCACAAGGTGCCATATTTAAATATGTAAGCATTTCATTAAAATTAAAAGTTCTTTGCTGCCGCTGCCAAGAAGCCATACTGAGGTGGTTACCAGCAATAGACCTACCAAACTTAATGGCTTTACCTAAAAGACTACGAGAATATAGTTATATCCGATTTTCATGTCCGGGGGCCTGGAGGCGGCGAAAGTGGGCGTGTCCACTGTCGATCTTTGAAGGACATTGCCAACAATCTACCAACCAAATTTGGTGACTGAAGCCTTAAAATTGTGGAATATATGTGGTTTAATCGATTTGCTATTACCGATTTTGTTAATTTCATAGCTGCTTAGTGTTAGTAGTAACACCCCAATTTTAACAGGTTGTCTGTCGCGGGGATAAGCAATTATGCGCTTCAAGTTTCAAGGCTCAATGGTCGGACACACGCATGACGAACATTGCACAAAACCAAGACACTTTTGTGTCTTCGTTATCAGAGAATAATTAGTCATCTATTTAAGCAACTAAAAATACACTTTAAAATGTCGAAAGTGTGATTCTGAAAAATATTGTCAGACAAACTGTGTTGACACAAAACAGAAGTAATACAAATAATTTATTTATAGAAAGTTTGAAGCTAAGATTTTGTTTGGACACTAAATAAATGCTCAAATATTTATTACCCGGAGGTTGTTTGTAAAGGCAAAAATCAATCAAAAAAATAATAAATGTGGAGTTCAGAACGCAAGCCCCTCAAAACTCCAGAAATCTCGACAATAAAGTAGTCCTCAACTCATTTTTAAATTTAAACAAGAAATGTAATGGAATATTAATGTGTAATTATTACTGTTGGACTTATCTGGAATATAGATACGAGCGATGTGAATTGTTAGCTTTACGAGTTTAGCCTGTTCTCATCTCTATACTAAATAATGAAAAATCGTCCTCACCTTATTATTTCCAAAACGGAGGGTTGTTTTCTGCGATTCCCATTGATTTTCTTTTCTTGATCCCAAAGTACATTTTCCAATAGCGAAGGAAAACTATATCAAATTTCGATAGTGTTGATGTGTACACAGAACTATAACTTTAGCTTTTTTGCTGCTCCTAAATTTATTAAACAATATTTTTTGAGATTTCGCTTTGTATACAAATATTTTGGAGAAGTATAATTTAATTTGATTGTACGGCAATTCAGACCCAGGCGCTAATGTGGACTGTAGCTTTAAAATTGTGGAATGTACGTAAAATCCAGAAATTTATTTTTAGTTTTTACTTCAATTTTCTAAAATTCATTTCGTATTTGTTCTAAGTGTAGCCGCAAAAGAGAAGAAAAAAGAAAAACAACATAAAAAGAGGGAAGCCACGGAAAGAAAACAACTGCAAGTGGCCCGGCCAATAACTAATGGCTATTTGGATACTTGGTCATGTACACTCAGAAAAAAAGACACATTGTAATTTTGAAAATAGTCCCAAATGATAATCGCTCTAAGAACTGGAAAAATTTTCCATATCATTTCAAATGTTAACAAACATGGAAGGTATTTCCCATTTTTCACAAAAAGATTTCGTAATAAAGAAATCATTTTTAAGAAGTTGAAATGCAAACACTTATTTTTAGAAAAAAACCCTTTCTGAAATTCAGAAAACGGTCAGGAAATTTGATCTCTAGACTGCCATGTTAGGGTTTAACTGTTGTATGTTTTAGGGTCTACAATTATTGGCAAATTTCACTTTACAAAGTTTTGCACCCAAATGTGAGCAGGTCTGCAAGTGCACTCTCGTCTTAGGGCAGAGTACATCTTCGACCATAACTGAATTTCTTCTCCGATCTTGCTAAAATTTTGGTAGTTGATCAATACTATGCATATGCATATTATGTATTCATTAGAAGATTCTGATTTTAAAAAAAATTTTAAAATTGTCGCATGTATTGCTATCGGGAATCGAAATGTATCGATATTCGAGAAACGAATGCAGTTATCGATAAGAGATCCGCGTGTATATTCAGACAGACAGTTGAACATGCCTATATCGCCTCGGTGGTTGATTCTGATCTCAAATATATATATACTTTATGGTGTCGGAGATGAGTCCTCCTGTTTGTTACATACATTTACCATTATACCCTTTTTACCCATTTTTGATGTGTTCAGGGTATAATATTTTTAGTATCTTTTAGAATGACACAACTTTAAGTTTTTTAGGTATACTTTCTAAAACCAAAGGTACGACTTATTGCTACAATTCAGTGCAACATTTTCGCTGAGTGTAGCCACTTTGCCATTTGGCTGGTTTCGCCTTACGCAACGTTTTAGTTTTATCACCTGAACTGCCCCTGCTGGCCAGGCTAAGATAGTAGCTGGTTGCTTGGCTACTGGCTGCTTTCGCGGGTTGGCGTGTTAACGGATTGGCGGGTAGGCGGGTTTTTCAATAAACTGGCCATAAAAAACGGGAGCAGGTCGATGGCGTCGTTGCTGCTGAGTACAGGCACTGTTTGCACACTTAACGCCGGTGCGAACGGCAAATAAAGTGAAGTGGTCTTGAAGTGATCCGGCCAACTGCGTAGACCAGTGGCAAGCCACTAACATCAGCAACACCAGCAACAATAGCAACAATCACAACTTTAGTTAACAATGCTGACCAAAACATTTGCCCTCTTGCCAACTTGGTTGGCGCAACATATTGTCTACCTTTAACAAAATGCATGCAGTCAAGGAAAAAACGGCTAGCAAAGTCAACGTCTTAATACTCTTTCTATTAAAAAATAAATTAAAAAGCTACAATCTCAAACAAAATCAGATAAGGCTTTTAAGCCGCGCATAATAGGAAAGATATAGCCAATTCCTATTTTTGATAACATTAAAAATAGTAACATAAAAGGCAAACATGTTCAACTTTATTTTCATATATTTTAAGTGCACAGAAAAAAGAGCTTAAGATTTAACATGAGATGATTAGTTAGAAAATATTAAAAAAAACTGTTAAAAATACGAATTATGACTGTAAACTTAATATTATTTATTAATACTAATGAAAGTTCTCTTAGTTTACCGTAGCCTGGATTTCAGTTCTGGCTTAAATTTCGATTAAACTTCGTTCGAGCCAACTTCTCTCGCATCAGGCTCTATACTAGGTACACCTCTTGTATTATTCTGAATGGCAATGCGATCATCATCATCAAAGGAATCCTCATTGCTATTGGCGGGTTCTTCTTTTGGTGGCGGCAAGAACTCGCCCACTTTCAGTTTGTCAGGTAACTGTTGCGAAGCTCTTTCAACTCCATATGGCTTTAAGTGATATATCAGATAATCGAGAACATACATCAGTTTGGGTGCGACATAATGAAATGATATCGCATTGTCGGAACAGCAATCAAGACCCTATAACCAGATTGTATATTAGAATCTTAAATTTTAAGAACCGTATAACTCAGCTTACCTCGTCTGACTTATAGAATTGGTATTTCCAATACCAAAACCCCTTATCCTTATTGGGTATTAAATGGGCCTCAGGACCAAAAGGGAACATACGTCCTCGACCATTGATATCACGCGAATCGCCCGCTGTCACATTTAAATTCTCCATGCATTTACCAATTTGGACATCCTCATCGATAACTGTGCCAGGCAGGCACATTTTGGGATTGGGAATACCCTGAACGACGAAGCGACGCAATGCTTCGCGACTCAATACATAGCCACATCCGCCTGACATGAAACCCTGAGCCACGTAAGGCTTGAACTTGTAGCCAAAGTGTACAGGGGTCTCCGGATCGTACGGATATAGCATATAGCGCAAATTCTCAATCACTGCATAGGTGTCATCATCAGCTTTGTAGAACCAATCCGCATCGTTGAAATGATGCCGATAAACATACTTAAATGCCTCCTTCACCTTGCGCCATAAATTCTCTCGACCCTCTCCCACATCTAGCTTCACCGTAGGCAGTTCATCATCCGCTCCGGAGCTCATGAATAGTAGAATATTACAGCGTTTGCCCCAAGTACGCTTAACATGACGGGCCTTCAGTTTGTGGTTCTTCGGATTGGTCATAACCCAGCAGAGAATGCGAACATCCTTCTTTAGCTGATCGGCCAGCGAGGTATTATCGGTTGGATGATCGTGCCGAAGGACATCAAAATGTGGTATAACATCATCAGCATGGGATGGCGGGGAACGGATATTAGAGTCTGTACTGGCCAGAAAGTTGGTGGGTTCGATGCCTTCA